AATTTCACTTTACCCTGTTTATAAGGGAGTCAGCATTCTTTACTGAAAAATATTTCACTTGTATAGCTCCTGAGATAGCTCCTGGTTGGCCCCTAGATTCCCTCTATACCCTTCCCCACATCGCTCTCTGCTCTAGGAGCTGTTCTGTAAGGACAGCCTGATGAAGACTCTCCTTAAACCAAACTTTAGTCAGACTCCAATGAGCCCTCTTCTCAACTAAGGCTTGAAATTGGCCCCTGCCCTTGCTGGGCCTGCACGGCCCAGTTTCAGAAATAATTCTGCGCTAAGTCAGTTTAGAGAGAATCCCCTACCCTTGATATCTGATCACACTAGACTGCCTTGAGCAAGAATACCCCTATCCTTGATGTCTCTTAGTAATTTTCCATCCACTGACCACCTGCCTCCCGATTCTGCCAAAAATCCCCAGCTGTTTTTGCTGTATTCAGAGTTGAGCCCTCTCTCTCTACCCTAGAGATAGTCTTGACACCCAATGCAATAGTTTTGGATAAAGTGTTCTCACAGTTTCAACAAGTGTCGGAATATTCTTTAATAAGTCTCAGAGGGCAATGGAGCTCCCTAAGAGGCTGCAGAGAGAGAAGAAACAGATCTGGGTATTTATTCCCTTGGCTTCCCTCTGGGGGAAGTCCATTACTTAACAGAAGGTCTCAGCTCCTGTCAGGAGGTCCATTCTACTTAACCCTGTCTTCCCCTGCCATTAACTGTTCCCATTCTTGCCCTTTCAGGCCTAGGGGTAGTAATAGAGTCTTATTATTACCAGCCCCAGGGAGGCCACACCAATATTTGTATCCTCATGGTTTTCCACCACTCTGTGAGTTATTAAACTCTCCTCAAAGTACTGTATTTGAGAATGCCATCTGTTTCCTGCTGGATCTCCCTAATACAGATATCATCTCAGCAGATTTCTTATTCTAAAAAGGCTATTAGCTCTAAGAAAGGCAGGCACAGATATGACAAGCAGTGAGATTTCTATATGAGTGACTTAAATAAGCTGATTTTAAGCTGCCATTTCTCCATTCTCTAGTTATTTTTATAATTATAGTAGCAGAGTATTTTCTGAAACATATAGTTTCCAAGAAGAATCTCTAAGCATCAACAGGGATTATTTTAAGAAGAAATATCCAAGGAAACTAGAAGTAAAAACTGTGTTAGCTAAAACTAACCAGAAACCTAAGAAGAGCTTCTTTGCCTTTATTTCCATCTGGTGGTTATATCCAGTGGTAACGTTCATAGTAATACTTTTAATAAGTGCAAGAAACACCTTAATAATACCACATACAAACCTGGCAACTCTTAATCACCTGCTGAAGGCTAATTCCATACATAGTCTAGAGCAGTATTTGTCAAATTCAGGTTGTAGTTGATTGTGAAATCAATTCAGCAGGTCCTAACAGTTTTTTAAATGACACCTCTATACACAATAATGTAAAACAGAAAATCAGAGCATATTATACATAGTAAGCATAAATATTTCACCAAATTTTTATCTCACCTTTTTACATACCTATTTTTATAGGTGTACAAGGGCATAATGTAAAATGTATTCCTTATGATGGGTGGCAGTCAAGAAAGTTTGAAAGCTACTGGTCTGGGCGGCCAGTCGTGGTGGCTCACACCCGTAATGCCAGCACTTTGGGAGGCCGAGGTCAGGAGTTCAAGACCAGCCTGGCCAACATGGTGAAACCCCATCTCTACTAAAATTACAAAAATTAGCTGGGCATGGTGGCGGGCGCCTGCAATCCCAGCTACTCGGGAGGCTGAGGCAGGGAACTGCTTGAACCCAGGAGGTGAAGGTTGCAGTGGGCCGAGATCCTGCCACTGCACTCCAGCCTGGACCACAGAGCAAGACTCTGCCTCGAAAAAAAAGTAAATAAATAAAGGTACCGGTCTGAAGAGAACCCCCTTCAAACAATACAATAAATATAAAGCTAAAAACATGTTTCAGCCCCCAGCTTCAAATTTTAAAAATCCGAATCTTTATTAAAAATACAGCTTGGGCCGGGCGCGGTGGCTCAAGCCTGTAATCCCAGCACTTTGGGAGGCCGAGACGGGCGGATCACGAGGTCAGGAGATCGAGACCATCCTGGCTAACACAATGAAACCCCGTCTCTACTAAAAATACAAAAACATTAGCCGGGCGTGGTGGCGGCGCCTGTAGTCCCAGCTACTTGGGAGGCTGAGGCAGGAGAATGGCGAGAACCCGGGAGGCGGAGCTTGCAGTGAGCCGAGATCGCGCCACTGCACTCCAGCCTGGGCGACAGAGCGAGACTCTGCCTCAAAAAAAAAAAAAAAAAATACAGCTTGCTGGATGGGCGCGGTGGCTCAGGCCTGTAATGCCAGCACTTTGGGAGGTCGGGGAGGGGGGAAATGGATCACGAAGTCAGGGGTTCGAGACCAGCCTGGTCAACATAGTGAAACCCCATCTCTACTAAAAATACACAAAATTAGCCAGGCATGGCGGCGCGCGCCTGTAATCCCAGCTACTCGGCGGAAGGCTGAGGCAGGAGAATCACCTGAACCCGGGAGGCAGAGGTTGCAGTGAGCCAAGCTCGCACCATTGTACTCCAGTCCAGGCGACGGTGCAAGATTCCAATTCAAAAAAACAAAAAATAAATACAGCTTATTGCCAAACATAAGCATATCAGTAACTGAAATAAAAGTTCTATAAAACAGTATTTATTTATTTATTTATTTATTTTTCTTTTGAGATAAGGTCTCCCTCTGTCACCTAGGCGGGAGTGCAGTGGTGCAATCTCAGCTCACTTCAACCTCTGCCTCCTGGGTTCAAGCGATTCTGCTGCCTCGGCCTCCCAGGCAGCTGGGATTATGGGTAAGTGCCACCAACGCCCAGCTAATTTTTGTATTTTGAATAGGCATGGGGTTTCACCATGTTGGCCAGGCTGGAAAACAGTATTTACTCTTACTACATGTGATGTGCTCTGATATTTTCTCTTAATTGATGATTCCAAACCACAGTGTACAAAGTACTTGCCTAGAGTATTAACAGGGCAGGTCTGTAGAATTCTGTTCTATAGCTGCCTTCATCTGATTTTATGTCATTTCTATTGTGGTATCAAGCAATCAAATCCTCTTCCTCCTTAGGTTTCTGTGTAACTACTACATGACTTCTGCTCAGTGGGAGAGAAATATCTTGAGTATGAAGCAGATAAAGATGTAACAGTTGAGGAACTAGCCCCATCCACATGTCCTGGCATTCAGTGCCATGGTACATGCTGAGAGTACCATCTTACTGCAAGCACCTGCAGCTCCCAGCCTGAGGACATAGGGCAAGGAATGTGCGGAAGCAGCTCTGAGCCAATGTCCGATGGGCAGTGGAGGTTAAACACTCCACCCTCCTCAGCCCTCACTGTGTTCTTTCCAATCTCTAAGTTTCCCAGCAGGAATGAGTGCCAGCCACAACTAGCAGTCACCTGCTTGATAACTCAACATTTACTGGCTTCTTTCCTCTCTTGTACCTCTCTACTGGGGCTTCCTGGAATCACCTCTCATATAAACGACACGCACTTAAACCTTTATCTCAGGGTCTATTTCTGGGTATATGCAACCTAAGAGAGTACACTAGTATAACTCTGTTGTTTAGAGCCAGGGCTGCAAAGATGGGGAGGGCCCACCCTAAAAAAGCTCACGCTCCAATAGGAAAATCAACGCTCTTTTTAAAAATGTGGGGCCGGGCGCGGTGGCTCACGCCTGTAATCCCAGCACTTTGGGAGGCCAAGGCGGGCAGATCACGAGGTCAGGAGATCAAGACCATCCTGGCTAACATGGTGAAACCTACTGAAAATAAGCTGGGTGTGGGGGCCTGCCACCACACTCGGGAGGCTGAGGCAGAAGAATGGCATGAACCCAGGAGGCAAAGCTTGCAGTAAGCCAAGATTGCACCACTGCACTCCAGCCTGGGCGACAGAGCAAGACTCCACAAAAAAAAAAAAAAAAAAGAAGTGAAACAAAACTTTACCGCTCATAGCAATGACAGGTATGCTCAAGGAGGGAAGGAAGAGGGGACAATATCTGACTGAAGGGCCACAGAAGCCAGTGTAGGAGACTGCAGAACTCCCTACAGGAGTCAGATGGGTAGTCAGGGCTATCCATAGTATGGGTCTATGTTCACTTCCCTGTGGTAAGTCTTAAAGCCTCTCTGATTTAGTGTAATACTTTACTTCTCACATTTAGGTTAAGAAAATAATTTTTACTTCTTCCAAAAAGAAATAATTCTAGCCTTCAGCTAAAAATAACTCAAGTAATATGAAAAATATGAAAGGAGAAAAACTATTAAGTTCCTGACAATGTGTTAAGAAAATTATTTGTAAATCATCTTTGATCTTTTTATGTTCCTCTGAAATCATAGACGATGGCAGTGAGTGTTCAACCCAAATCTTCATGAAAAGTTCTAAAGAAGGCTGATATTTTCATTTGAAAAGCATTATTTTTAAATGTAAAATTTACATGTTCAGCTTTGTGTTCAATCCTATAAACCAGGACTTCTTTAAGGCTGGCAACAAATAAGAAAGCTACAGCTAATTTTCTCCCTTCTATTTTTTTTTTTTTTTTTTTAAAGAGACAGGATCTCTCTCTATCACCCAGGCTGGAGTGCAGTGGCACAATCACGGCTCACTGCAGCCTCAACCTTCTGTGCTCAAGTGATCTTCCTGCTTCAGCCTCCACAGTAGCTGGGACACAGGTGCAAGCCACCATGCCCAGCTAATTTTTTTTCTAAGAGACAGGGTCTTAATGTATTGCCCAGGCTAATCACAAATTCCTGGGCTCAAGCAATCCTCCTGAAAAAGTTATGGCTAATTTTCCTTTGCATCTTCCATTCTGGTAAACATTGCAGCAAAGGCAAAGCAGCATCATAATTCTCTCTGTCTCAGGCAAGGAGTTTGATCTGCAGCGAAAGCAGGTATTTGCACTGAAAGCTTCTTCAACATGCCAAGTACATCAGGGACTGAGACTCAAATACTCACCCTGACCCAGCAGGGAGTGACGGCAGAGCTGAAGAGACATTAGCTGGTGGTTTTTCTTTCTCATTCTGCTTGAAGAAGGATTTGGCCTCTTTAGATGTAGCATCCACTTCCTTAGTCACCCTGTGCCAAGGAAAAAGACATCAAGCTTACAAGAAGAATAAAGACAAAGAAACAAGCTAGAAAAGGAAATAAAGACAACTAGAAAAAGACCCACTGGGCTTTCAATAAATTCTGGATGCTCAGCGTTATGATAAAAGTTTACTACAATAACTTTCAATAAAGACATTTTCCTGGCTGGGTGCGGTGGCTCACGCCTATAATCCCAGTACTTTGCGAGGCCGAGGCAGGCGGATCATGAGGTCAAGAGATCGAGACCATCCTGGCCAACATGGTGAAACCCCGTCTCTACTAAAAATATAAAAATTAGCTGGGCGTGGTGGTGGGAGTCTGCAGTCCCAGTTACTCGGGAGGCTGAGGCAGGAGAATCACTTGAACCCAGGATGCAGAGGTTGCAGTGAGCCAAGATTGCGCCACTGCACTCCAGCCCTGGCAACAGAGTGACACTCCGTCTCAAAAAAAAAAAAAAAAAAGGAAGAACAAAGCAATATAAAACCATAAATTTAAAGGGAAAACTTTGCAGTGGAGACATCTGACAAACTCCACCTTGCCAAATGATTAAAGCTAACATCAGTAATACATCAGTAATACATTGATATATGAGATAAGAAGGGCAAGTCCCCTCTCTGGTGGTCTCTCCAACATCCATAACCTCATTCTAATGAGAAATCACGAAGCAAACCCAAATGAAGAGACATTCTACAAAATACCTGACCAGCACTTTCCAAAGGCAATATCATGAAAAATATAGGCTGAGAAACTGTCATGGGACGGGAGGAGACCAAGGAGACATGACAATTAACTAAAGGTGGAAAATGGGTTTGGGTCCTGGAACACAAACGATTATTAGTGGAAAAACTGTCAAAATCTGAAGTCTATCGTTTAGTTAATGGCACTGTACCAATGTTAATTTCTTTCTTTTTTAGAGACAAGGTCTCGCTCACTATGTTGCCCAGGCTGGAGTGCAGTGGTGATTCACAGGAGTGATCACAGCACACTGCAACTTCAAACTTCTGGCCTCAAGCATTCTTTCCTCCTCAATCTCCAAAATAGTCGGGACTGCAGGTGTGAACCATGCTTGGCTCCCAACCTCTGCCTCCTGGGTTCAAGCAATTCTCCTGCCTCAGCCTCCCAAGTAGCAGTGAGCCGAGATCATGCCATTGCACTCTAGCCTGGGCGACAGAGCAAGGCGCCATTTCAAAAAAGAAAAGACACTTTCCCTCACTAAAATTAACAAATGAAACAACAATGTGTATAAATTGTATCTCCCTAAAACAGCCCAAAGATGAAACAAAATCCCTTAAAACTGGCTAAATTAGCAATAATTTGGGAATGGACAAAAGCAACATGACAGAGAATTTTGTCTAATTTCAAATCTGAAACAATTATCTTCATTAAAACTGAGTCCTAAAGGATCAAATAAAGGTATTTATGGTACCTGAGAATTCAGATAAAGAGAGAAGGAGAAATGTCTAATCTCTGCCTAGGCTTTCCGGGTTAACAAAAACACCTGAGGAATGTTGTTTAAATGTAGTCTATCACCCCTCCATGACTTCTCAGCATGAAATACACTGCAGCAGTCAATACTAAATCTCCATGCTGGGTTACTGACATGAAGGCTGAAAAACGCCCTCACACTGCACCCCACATGCAGATTAGCACTCAGACTTAAAGGTCCAGTGAAAGCTGAGATGGAGAGATGGAATATTGGGAATATGGGTGATAGAACTGGGAAATAATGCCTAGGCTGGCACTATTTCAAGGAGAAAAATAAGAGTTAAAAAAAAAAAAAAAAGAGGCCACCAGGCGCGGTGGCTGATGCCTGTAATCCCAGCACTTTGGGAGGCCAAGGCAGGCGGAACATGAGGTCAGGAATTCGAGACTAGCCTGGCCAACGTGGTGAAACCCTGTCTCTACTAAAAATACAAAAAATTAACTGGGCGTGGTGGCAGGCGCCTGTAATCCCAGCTACTCGGGAGGCTGAGGCAGGAGAACTGCTTGAATCCAGGAGGTGGAGGTTGTAGTGAGCTGAGACCACGCCACTGCACTCCAGCCTGGGCAACAGAGCAAGACTCTGTCTCAAAAATAAATAAATAAATAGAGAAGACTCTGCAGAAGACTCTTGTTTTATATCCAAAACAACCCAAAGATGAAACAAAATCCCTTAAAATTGGTTAAAGTAGCAATAATTTGAGAATGGACGAAAGCAACATGACTGAGAATTTTGTCTAATTTCAAATCTGAAAAAATTATCTTCACTAAAACTGGGTCCTAACGGCTCAAATAAAGTGTATTTATGGTACCTGAGAATTCAGATAAAGAGAGAAGGAGAAATGTTTAATCCCTGCCTAGGCTTTCCAGGTTAACAAAAACACCTGAGGAATTTTGTTTAAATGCAGTCTATTATGGCCAGCAGCGGTGGCCTCTTTTGTAGCCCTCTGATAAGCTTTTTCTTGTTTTTTTGTTTGTTTGTTTGTTTTTGTTTGATACGGAGTCTTGCTCTGTCTCCTAGGCTGGAATGCAGTGATGCGATCTAGGCTCACTGCAACCTCCACCTCCTGGGTTCACGCCATTCTTCTGCCTCAGCCTCCCAAGTAGCTGGGATTACATGTGCCTGCCACCACGCCTGGCTAATTTTTTTGTATTTTTAGTAGAGACGGGGTTTCACCGTGTTAGCCAGGATGGTCTTCATCTTCTGACCTCGTGATCCACCTGCCTAGGCCTCCCAAAGTGCTGGGATTACAGGCGTGAGCCACCGCGCCCAGCATTTTTTTGTTTTAAAACCAGGTCAGGTACAGTGGCTCATGCCTGTAATACCAGCACTTTAGGATGTGCTATAATAGTGAGCCCAGGGCCAGGCACCGTGGCTCACGACTGTAATTCTGGCACTTTGGGAGGCCGAAGTGGGCAGATCATTTGAGGTCAGGAGTTCAAGACCAGCCTGGCCAACATGATGAAACCCCATCTCTACTAAAAATACAAAAATTAACTGGGTGGTGCATGCCTGTAATCCCAGTTACTTAGGAGGCTGAATCGCTTGAACCTGGGAGGCAGACGTTGCAGTGAGCTGAGACAGCATCACTGCACTCCAGCCTGGACAACGCAGCAAAACTTCATCTCAAAAAGAAAAAAACAGGCTGGGCGCAGTGGCTCACGCCTGTAATCCCAGCACTTTGGGAAGCTGAGGTGTGCGGATCACCTGAGGTCAGGAGTTTGAGATCAGCCTGATCAACATGGAGAAACCCTGTCTCTACTAAAAACACAAAAATTAGCTGGGCATAGTGGCAGGTGCCTGTAGTCCCAGCTACTCGGGAGGCTGAGGCAGGAGAACCACATGAACCCGGGAGGCAGAGGCTGCAGTGAGCCGAGATCCCACCACCGCACTCCAACCCAGGCGACAGAGTGACACTACATCTCAAATAAATAAATAAATAAATAAAAATAAAAGGACAAAACCAAAACAAAACAAAAAAAATACTTCCCTACTCCACTGATGCTGAGCTTGGATACATGACTTGCTTCAAAGGCCAATGAAGTATTAGCTGATCTGAGAGGAAGAGAAGTTTAAACATGTTTGTGCTGTTTCTCCTGCCCCTTGAATTCGTCCCTTGAGTCATAAGGAGAATGAATACACCTCAACTGGCTGCTGGTCCAAAATGGCAGAAAGACATGCTGCAGACCTGAATCCAACAAACAAGCAGCTTGGAGCTGAGCTGAGCCGAGTCTAAATCACTCAATCTGAGATACTTAGAGGAACACAGGCAACAAGTAAACGCTTATCATTGTATATCACTGAGTTTTGGAATGGTGTGCCACACAGCACTAGCGTAGCAAGAGCTGACTGACACATTTACATTTTGTGAGTAAGAAAACTGAAATATAAGGTTATGTTACTTATTCAAGGCTATCCTGAGATTAAGCAGCAATGCTAGAGAGAACCCTATAGCAGATAGTATATTCCAAAGATGGTTGCCACAAATTTCCCATCCCCACATGCTCTTCCAGAAATCTGATACTACCCCAGTTAGAGGGGGAGTCTGTGTCATCACCCCTTGACAGTGAATGGGCTTTCGTGGCTGTCTCAACTCAAAGAGTTCTGTGGAAGTGGCACGACATGACTTCTGAGGCTAGCGAATAAAAGATGATATAGTTTCCACCTGGCACGCTCTGTCTGTCTGTCCCTGTCTCAGTCTTTCTCAAGAATGTACCTTTGAAACTCCAAGCTACCACAAAACAAGTCTGGTTACTCTGCAGCCACTATGTTGGAGAGATCATATAGGAAGATCACACAGAGACAAGACGTCTGAGAAGCCTGTACCAACCCCCAGGTGTTTGACCTAGCTCTGGCATCAGACATGGGAGTAAGGAAACTTGTGAAGTGGTTCCATACTTAGCCACTATCTGATTACAACTGTACAACAGACCCTGAGTAAGAAGGGCCTAGCTGAGCCCAGCTACCCCTGGAATCAAGAGAAATTAAAATAAAACAATTATTTTTTAAAGTCACTAAATTTTGAGGTGCTTTCTTACACTGTTTTAAAAATTACAAAATAAACCCACATCCAAATCTCAGGCTTAATGCAGTGTTCCAGAGTACTAAACTAGAAAGGGTACCTTTAAATTTCCTTGCTCTGGGTAGAATCTGGGGCAGACCAGCTAATGAAGAACAAGCAGAAGCTGCCACTTACATATAGTAATCTGAACACATGCTTTATTCCAATCCTGCCAAAACCCTACTAAATAGTGGCAAGTTTAAAAAGATGAAACTACACAAGGATAATGAGAAGAAATGTAACAGAAAAGGGATGTCAATAGAATTTTCTTCTTTTTTTGTTTTAAAGACAGGGTCTCACCATGTTGCCTGGGCTGGATTCAAACTCCTGGGCTCAAGCGGTCCTCCTGCCTTGGCCTCCCAGTGCTGGGATTACAGGCGTGAGCCACCGTGCCCAGCCCAAATTTTCTGACAGTAGAAAGCAGCCAGGTGCAGTAGCTCGGGCCTGTAATTCCAGCACTTTGGGAGGCCAAGGGCGGGAGGATTACCTGAGCCCTGGGCAACACGGCAAGACCCTGTCTCTACAAAAATTTTTTAAAAATCGGCCAGGCGCAGTGGCTCACGCCTGTAATCCCAGCACTTTGGGAAGCTGAGGTGTGCGGATCACCTGAGGTCAGGAGTTTGAGATCAGCCTGATCAACATGGAGAAACCCTGTCTCCACTAAAAATACAAAATTATCCAGGCCACCGTGGTGGCACATGCCTGTAATCCCAGCCGCTTGGGAGGCTGAGGCAGGAGAATCGCTTGAACCCAGGAGGCGGAGGTTGCAGTGAGCCGAGATTGTGCCACTACACTCCAGCCTGGGCAACAAGAGCAAAACTTCATCTCAAAAAAAAAAAAAAAAAAATTAGCCAGGCATCATGGTGTGCACCTGTAGTCTCAGCTGCCTGGGAGGCTGAGGCAAGAAGATCGCTTGAAGCCAGGAGTTCAAGGTTACAGTTGGCTATTATCGTGGTACTATATATAGCCTGGGCAACAGAGTGAAACCCTGTCTCAAAAAAAAAAAAAAAAAAGAAAGTAGAAAGCAAGTAGACAAGTAATAACTAGATTTGGTTTTTGTTTTCTCTGATCTCCTAAGCCTATAGCCATGTGGAATGGCCAAAAACAGGCAAGCCAATGTGTACTACTGTACCCTAGAAAGGCTCATTAAATTGAGATACCAGGAACCTTTCGAGGTAGAGGAAAGGAATAGGGCTAAAACCAGTTAGAATTCTCCATCAGGAGCAACTAGGTCCCAGATCTCCTTCAGCAGCACCTCATACCACAGGCTACTGCCCTACCCCATCCCCAATTCAGCAGAGCCCATTACTCTGGAGAAATGAAAACCACAGAAGTTCCAGACTCAAAAGGCATGGCTGAAGTCCATTCTGAAAACAGAGGAACTACATGAAAATCTATGTATTCATGCTTCCTTTGCCAGAGCAACCCTGAAGCCTAGGTGTTCTATACAATTGAGTTACAAGATAGAGTGCTACCCACCTCACAATGGACTTTACACCAGTAAGAAATAATGTACTGTATTATGCTACTGAGTTGCTGAGTTTGTTACCTCAGCCTAGCCTGCCCTGGCCTGTCGTATCAATTCTACTAATATGAATTTCACAAAAACAGAAAATATGGGGAAGTTAAAAACAATAAAAGAAACGTCCTAGAAGTGAAGGATGAGCTTCCATAAAAAGAGCCATAGAACAATGGATGCAGCCAATTTAAAAGCATCCGGCTGGACGTGGTGGCTCACACCTGTAATCCCAACACTTTGGGAGGCCGAGGTGGGCGGATCATGAGGTCAGGAGTTCCAGACCAGCCTGGCAACATGGTGAAACCCTGTCTCTATTAAAACATACAAAAACTGGCTGGGCACGGTGGCTCACGCCTGTAATCTCAACACTTTGGGAGACCATGAGGTCAGGAGATCGAGACCATCCTGGCTAACACGGTGAAACCCTGTCTCTACTAAAAATATAAAATATTAGCCGGGCGTGGTGTCGGGTGCCTATAGTCCCAGCTACTGGGGACGGTGAGGCAGGAGTATGGCGTGAATCCGGGAGGTGGAGCTTACAGTGAGCCGAGATCATGCCACTGCACTCCAGCCTGGGCAATAGAGCAACACTCCGTCTCAAAAATAAACAAACAAACAAAAATTAGCTGGGCATGGTGGAAGGCACCTGTAATCCCAGGTTCTCGGGAGGCTAAGCCAGGAGATGTGTTTGAACCCGGAAGGCAGAGGTTGCAGTAAGCTGAGATCGTGCCATTGCACTCCAGTCTGGGTGTGACAGGGTGCGACTCTGTCTCAAAAAAATAAAAAATAAAAAGATTCACATCAAGGCAAATCACTGTGAAGTTTTAGAATGTCGGTGATAGAGAAGATGAAATCAAATGACCTAAGTGATAGCTTAAGGAAAAGTAGCCTCTATGTAATTCATGTTTGGTTTTGTTTTTTACTACCTTTATAGAAATGACAAACCTGGAAAGAGTCACCTAAGACAATCAGGTCAACATTTTCTGAAAAGTGACCTAGCTCCAAGCACTGTTAGATGTTGAACATATAAAAAAATACGGCATAACCTTTGTTTTTAAGGAGCTCACAGTTCAGCAGAACAGTCAACCATGAAAGCAGGTCATGGTAATACATGATATATAGTAAGTGGCATAAAAACAGCATGGAAAAAGTATAAACTGAGGGAGTATCTCTCATAATTTCTTAGTGCCAAAGTCCCATCTATATTCACTAGGAAACACTGGTATATTTATCTCAGGCACTTCAGTAATTGACACCAAGTAATACTAGCAGATGCTACTATTACTAGTGTTGCTAGTATGCCTAGAACAACTCCACTTTTAACAAGCAATAAGGGATTCAACTATCAAAATATCTTCACAGTTATTTTATAACTGTGAATACTTAAATTATTATAGACCACCTCTAATGCACAAGAGGGAACCCTGACAGGAAAAGGCCTATTATTAGCAATAGTTAATTCAAGTGTTCTCAGCAGAAATTCCATTTTAACTTTATTTTCACTTACTCAGAACTTCCTAAAAGTCTTTATTTGGGCAGAAACTTTCCATGACTGGCTTTTTCCAAAAGGTGAATCATTTAGGAAAGTCTGAGCTAACTGGCTCAGCTAGTTATGTGATAGGGCAGAATACAAAATACTATATTCTCCCATTCCCCTAGGTTAATAAGCTAAACATTTTTCAAGTGGGGACAAAAACAAAACGAAAAGACCAAAGCCCAAAATTTAACATTAAAATACAGTTAGAAAACCCAAGACTAACTTTGTGCTAACACTACCTTACACTTAGACCTACAAATTCCTTCCCATCATCACTAGCTCTTCTCACATTTCTTAAAGATGTAGTAATGTTCTTAACTTGATACAGACACAAAAATAATTACATGAAGAAATTAAAACGTATGCTCAAATCCATACAACAAATTTGTATCTGGTTATCAATGAAAATTCAGATCTCGTAAGTCCCCTCATGAGAATTCCTTATAATGCCTAAATTTAAGTCTAAATAATTTAAGTTAAAAAAAAAAAAAATCCTGTCAACATGCCCACTATTAACAGGGTTTTTGGTTTTGTTTTTTTTTTGAGACAGAGTCTCGTGCTGTCGCCCAGGCTGGAGTGCAATGGCGCGATCCTGGCTCACTGCAAGCTCCGCCTCCCGGGTTCACACCATTCTTCTGCCTCAGCCTCCTGAGTAGCTGGGACTACAGGCGCACGCCACCGTGCCCGGCTAATTTTTGTATTTTTAGTAGAGACAGGGTTTCACCGTGGTCTCGATCTCCTGACCTTGTGATCCGCCCACCTCGGCCTCCCAAAGTGCTGGGATTACAGGCGTGAGCCACTGCACCCAGCCGGTTTTTGTTTTCTTTAGGGGAAGGGAGTTACAGAACTTTCACTTTTCATGTTATATATCTCTGTAACGTATGAATTTTAAAGTAATAAGCATGCATCATTTTGAAATATAATGTAATCTATATGAAAAAACGTGCTTCCATACTCATTTGTTTTTTTATAGACATGGTGCTGCCCTCTCCTGGCAAATTATGAAAACAGCGAACTCCCTGAACACCCATCAAGTACATTTAAAATTACCATCCACTTGTTTTCAAACCTGAAATAGGAAATTTATGGCACAAAACTATCTTAGTATTTATTAACAAGTCCACAACATTTAATTTGACTGAAAATTTATGACTTTTTTTTGAGACAGGGTCTCACTCTGTCACCCAGGCTGGAGTTTAGTGGCACGATCTTGGCACACAGCAACCTCTGCCTCCTGGTCTCAAGGGATCCTTCTACTTCAGCCTCCCGAGTAGCTGAGACTATAGACACACACCACTTTTGTACAAATGGAGTTTCTCCACGTTGCCCAGGCTGGTCTTCAACTACTGGACTCAAGCAATCCTCCTTCCTTAGCCTCCCAAAGTGCTGGGATTACAGGCATGTGCCTCTGCGCCCAGCCTAGTGACTTCTTACAGCAACAGTTATTCACCAGCTTTTTGTACACTCTGTGTGAGGGCCACTGGTGAAGTTATAAATAAATATTTCTTAGATAGTCTACATAACACATAGAAAATAATTCAAGCCAAAAAAGACTTAACTTCAAAAAAACTTTTAAACCTATATTCCTAATGGTACATTAATATACTTTCTATATTATGTTTATAGGACTTTCAAACTATTAAAAGTTTATACTGTCAGTGTTCTGTCGGTCCCCTACTGGATGGACAACTCAATAGCTTCCGGAATGATTTCAGGCAGTAAAATACATTACTAATTCATATCATCAATAATTATTTATGGGGCCAGGCGTGGTGGCTCACATCTGTAATCCCAGCACTCTGGGGGGCCAAAGTGGGTGGATCATTTGAGGTCAGGAGTTCGAGACCAGCCTGGCCAACATGATGAAACCCCGTCTTTACTAAAAATACAAAAATCAGCCATGCGTGGTGGCACATGCCTGTAGTCCCAGCTACTTGGGAGGCTGAGGCAGGAGAATCGCTTGAACCTAGGGGGTGGAGGTTGCACTGGTCTTTTATTCCTAAGTTCCATTACATCGAAACAATAAAGTATTAACATTTAACAAGATAATTCAGGGTCATCAGCTTCCAAAGAAATAAATACTTTAAAACATTGAAAATAAATCAGTTTGCTTTCAGAAATGACACACTAAATGAATTTCTCTTCTTAACTGATGACGGCCAAAATCCCAACTGTAGAACAATCCTCAGAAAACTTGTCATGTAAAAACACTCAGTTCAATTTAGATATCATCAATGTCTTCATCGTCATCTCCAATATCATCAAATTGGATTTCATCATCATCTCCAGGACCAAATGTGTCTGTTTCATTGATTTTAGCATGCTCTGGAAGCTCGCCATATGCCTTCAGGCTTCTAGCTTCATCTGCATTGTACTTTAAAATTACATCAGCTTTGTTATCCTAATAGTCTCGTAGACCAACCAATATACTGTCTGAAGTATTTATCCAAACCTTTTTTCTCAATTTCCCTCTGATATGGCATAACCTCTTTACACCATCGAAACACAGTGCTTCCAATCGTCCATTTCCCAACATTTTGATTACCTGAGCATACTCTTGTCCATCCTCTTTAAACACCAGCTCTCTTTTTTCAGATTCATTCTCATTTTTACCCCTGCGCCTGTTTTTACCTCCTTTACCTTTATTCTTGGGCATAGCGGTGAAGACAGCCTCATGGGACCTCTTCCGACTCCTTTCTGGCGGTTACTACTACTCTAAGAGCAGGCTGACCTAAGATGCCTCAGGTGGGTGCGCACAACAGACTGGCCACGGAGCTCTCTAAAAGGCATTCTTAAGTCACAAACAATAGCATGAGCGATCTGTGCCTTAAGGACATGCTCCTGTTACAGTTAACTAGCCCAACCTATTCCTTTAATTAGGCCCATCCCTTCGTTTCCCATAAGGCATACTTTTAGTTAATCAAATATCTATAGAAACAATGCTAATGACTGGCTTGCTGTTAATAAATATGTGGGTAAATCTCTGTTCAGGGCTCTCAGCTCTGAAGGCTGTGAGATCCCTGATTTCCCACTTCACACCTCTGTATTTCTGTGTGTGTGTCTTTAATTACTCCAGTGCCACTGGGTTAGGGTCTCCCCGACCAAGCTAGTCTTGGCACCAGGTATCAGGGAAGCTGAGGTGAAAGGATCTCTTGAGCCTGGGAGATCACGGCTGTAGTGGGCCACGATGGTACCACTACACTCCAGTCTGGGCAACAGAGTGACACCCTGTCTCAAAAAAATTAAATAAAATATGAAAAATAAACAAATAAATAAATAGGCCAGGCGCAGTGGCTCACGCCTATAATTCCAGCACTTTGGGAGGCCAAGGCGGGTGGATCACAAGGTCAGGAGTTCAAGATCAGCCTAGCCAACATGGTGAAACCCCATTTCTACTCAAAATACAAAAATTAGCTGGGCGTGGTGGCGCGCACCTGTAATCCCAGCTACCCAGGAGGCTGAGGCAGGAGAACGGCCTGAACCCGGGAGGCGTAGGTTGTGGTGAGCCGAGATCACACCACTGCACTCCAGCCTGGGTGACAGAGCAAGACTCCAACTCAAAAATAAAAAATAAATAAATAAACAAAAATAAACAAATAAGCCGGGCGCGGTAGCTCACGCCTGTAATCCCAGCACTTTGGGAGGCTGAGGCGGGAGCATCACTTGAGGTCAGGATTTCAAAAACAACCTGGTCAACACGGTGACCATCTGTACTAAAAATACAAAAATTAGCCAGGTGTGGTGGCAGATGCCTGTAATCCCAACTCCTCAAGAGACTGAGGCAGGAGAATCACCTGAACCTGAGAGGCAGAGGTTGTAGTGAGCCGAGATCATGCCACTGCACTCAAGCTTGGACAACAGAGACTCCGTCTCAAATAGACAGACAGACAGATAGATAGATAGATAGATAGATAGATAGATAGATAGATAGATAGATAGATAGATAAACAAGCAAACAAATAAATGAAATAAAATAATTAGCTAGTTGTGGTGATGTTCACTTAGAAGGCTGTGGTGGGAGGCTGAAATGGAAGGATCACTTGAGTCGGTGAGTTCAAGATTACAGTAAGCAATGATTGCACAACCACACACCAACCTGGGTGACAGAGTGAGATAGCTCCTGTCTCTAAAAATCAAAAAATAATCCTAGTAGTTCCAGGCAAGAAAGTAATTTAACATGTTTTTCAGTAGCAAATAAATTATACGGGTAAAAATGAAAGTTAGAAAACTAGTGTTTCTATAAATTAATATGTCTCATAGAATGTTTTGAATTGTATTTTCTATTAAAAAAATATTCACACATGGCTGGGTGTGGTGGCTCACATTTGTAATCCCAGCACTTTGGGGGGCCAAGGCAGCAGGATCGCTTGAGCCCAGGAGTTCAAGAGCAGTCTGGGCAACACAGTGAGACGACATCACTACAAAACAATTTTAAAAGTTAGATGGAGGCCGGGCGCGGTGGCTCAAGCCTGTAATCCCAGCACTTTGGGAGGCCGAGACGGGCGGATCACGAGGTCAGGAGATCGAGACCATCCTGGCTAACACGGTGAAACCCCGTCTCTACTAAAAATACAAGAAAATTAGCCGGGCGAGGTGGCGGGCGCCTGTAGTCCCAGCTACTTGGGAGGCTGAGGCAGAAGAATGGCGTGAACCCGGCGGGGCGGAGCTTGCAGTGAGCCGAGATTGCGCCACTGCACTCCAGCCTGGGGCACAGAGCAAGACTCCGTCTTAAAAAAAAAAAAAAGTTAGATGGGCACGGGTGGCATATACCTGTAGCCCCAGTTACTCAGGAGGCTGAGGTCGGGGGAAATCAATTGAGCCTTGTAGTTGGTTGAGGCTAGCGTGAACGACAGAGCAAGACCCTGTCTCAAAAAAAAAAAAAATTCATGTATAGGAAATTCGGGCTTCCAGAATTCCTTTTTTCTTTCACTAAAATATAACTTAAATTTAATTATAACTTGACGGGATAAATTATTGAAAATGGCTACTAATGAAGCATTTAATATAAACTTTGAAAACACAGTATCACAGGCAGGGTGCAGTGGCTCACACCTGCAATCCCAGCACTTCGGGAGGCGAAGGCAAAAGGATCACTTCAGCCCAGAAGTTCGAGACCAGCCTAGGCAAAATGGTGAAACCCATCTCTACAGAAAATACAAAAATTAGCCAAGCGTGGTGGTATATGCCTGTAGTCTCACCCACTCGGGAGGCTGAGGGGGGAGAATGACTTGAGTCCTGAAGGTTGAGGCTGTAGCGAGCTGAGACTGTGTCACTGCACTCCAGCTTGGGTGACAAACAGAGACTCTCTCTCAAAAAAAAAAAAAAAAGAAAGGAAGGAAGGGAGGGAGGGAGTCTGAAGGAAGGAAGGAAGGAAGGAAGGAAGGGAGGGAGGGAGGGAGGGAAGGAGGGAAGGAAGGAAGGGAAGGAAAGGAAGGAAAGGAAATGAAACACAGTACATTTTTTACTTTTACCCAGATTCATTCTGGATAAAGGCAAAAAACGAAAACTCTGAACTAAATGAAACTGCTTTAAAATGTATACTTCTGATCCCATGAAAATATCTCTGTGTTACACCCTGGCAGATCCCATGTTAAAAAAAAAAATTGTGTGAAAGATGGAATGGTGGACAGAAGGCAGGAAGGAGAAAACCAACAAAGAAATAATTTACATATAAATTATCCACCAGGAGGAGCAAAGTCATCAATACAACTTAGATTAGCAAGAAAGAAATAAGGTCTTTCATCACAATTAAAACTTTAAATATTAATATAAACAGTGGGCCGGGTGCAGTGGCTAACGCCTGTAATTCCAGCACTTTGGGAGGCCGAGGAGGGTGGATCATAAGGTCAAGATTTCAAGATGAGCCCGGTCAACTCGGTGAAACCCCATCTCTACTAAAAACACAAAAATTAGCCAGGCATGGTGGAAGGCACCTGTAATCCCAGACACTCGGGAGGCTGAAGCAAGAGAATCACTTGAACTGGGGAGGCGGAGGTTGCAGATAGCCGAGATCATGCCACTGTACTCTATCCTGGGTGACAGATCAAGACTCTATCTCAAAAAAATAATAGTAATAAAAACAAAATAGTGCTCATTCAAAGTGTGTGTCTGACATTTAATACTGAGAATTGATATTTTACTCAGCTTTTTGTTTTTTTGTTTTGAGACAGAGTCTCGCTCTGTTGCCCAGGCTGGAGTGCAGTGGTGCGATCTCGGCTTACTGCAATCTCTGCCTACCGGATTCAAGCGATTCTCCTGCCTCAGCCTCCCAAGTAGCTGGGATTACAGATGTGCACCACCACACCTGGCTAATTTTTGTATTTTTAGTAAGGATGGGGTTTCACCATGTTGCTCAGGCTGGTCTCGAACTCCTGACCTCAAGCGATCCACCCACCTTGGCCTCCCAAAGTGCTGGGATTATAGGCATGAGCCACCATGCCAGGCCAGCTTTTTGTCTTAATAACAGAATAAAAGGTAACAGTCATTCCCCGTATATTAACACTTTCAATGAACAGCCTGTATAGTTACATAATTCTTTCCTTTTTCCTGTCTGCGGTTCGTTTTGACCACATGCATTGAAATGTAATGTTATGTCTATTAAATCCTTTTTTACCCCCCACACCTGTCGACAGAGGTTAAAAGGCCCACACTTGGAGGGGGCAGGTGGCCCCAGTTATACGCACACAGTGCTGTGGTGCTGCAGCCTGAGCCCCATGGCCACAAAGAGAGGTAGTAGGGTAACTGCTGAATCTTAGTAAAACATTAGTTAACTTTTATATTTGTTTTTCTAGTAATTCCTTTGTATTGTGTTTTTAGAAAAGTACTGGTCTGCAATAGATTGAAAATTTTAAGTTGGGGTCCTTCACCATAGATAGCAATCTGCTCTAATGTTAACTTTACTGAATATGAGAGTTATACTGAAAATTTTAAGCTGGGGTCCTTCACCATAGATAGCAATCTGCTCTAATGTTAACTTTACTGAATATGAGAGTTATACTGAAAATTTTAAGTTGGGGTCCTTCACCATAGATAGCAATCTGCTCTAATGTTAACTTTACTGAATATGAGAGTTATACTGAATGGAGAATGCCCTTGGTTGTAGAAGACATGTGCTAAAGTATTAAAGGCTGAGGTGTCACAATGTCTACAAGTAAATCTCAAATGGTTCAGCCAAAACAAAAGAAAAACCCAGATACAAATGGTGAGAGAGAGGCAATACATTAACCAGTGGTGAATCTGGATGATAGGTATGTAGGTGTTTGTTATAACACTATTCTTGCAACATTTCTATAAGTGTGACATTTTTTTCAGAAGAAGAAGATGTCAGAGAGAAATTTTTAATAATAAAAAGTTTTGTTCCATACCATTTATAAAAGTGATAATGGCCAGGGAGAGTAGTACAACCCTGAAGTCCCAGTTACTTAAGAGGCCGAGGCTGGAGGATCGCTTGAGCCCAGGTGTTCAAGAACAGCCTAGGCAACACAGCAAGACCCTTTCTCAAACAAAAACAAAAACAAACACAAAACAAAAAAACTGATAATGTCAATTTTTTCATAAATATACCTTCACTAGATAAATAATTGTTGAAAACATTATTTTTAAGAATAACAATTTTAGGGAAAATTGTATTTTCAGAGAGCCTACAGGTCTAATTAATTACTGCCAATGAAAATCAATGTGACCGCCTACAAATTTATTGATTGGCACTTTCTCTGTTCTTATTTAGTTCTAAATTACAAATCTGCTATTTTCACATAATAAAATTGAAATAAATGGGGGAGGGGAAATTAGAGGTATGTGGCTCTTACCTAACAATCGGGAGGCTAACCTGGTCAAGGCATTAAGCCCCTACTTAACCTATGATAAATAAACCTTATTACTCAATCAGAAAAATATCATTAAGGTAAGAAAATAATATTGAGGCAGGGCACGGTGGCTCACACCTATAATCTCAGCACTTTGTGAGGCCGAGGCAGGTGGATTACGAGGTCAGGAGTTCAAGACCAGCCTGGCCAACATGGTGAAACCCCGTCTCTACTAAAACTACAAAAAAATGGCCAGGCACTGTGGCTCACACCTGTAATCCCAGCACTTTGGGAGGCCGAGGCGGGCGGATCACTTGAGGTCAGGAGATCCAAGATCATCCTAACACAGTGAAACCCCATCTCTACTAAAAATATAAAAAAATTAGCAGGGCATGGTGGCAAGCACCTGTAGTCCCAGCTACTCGGGAGGCTGAGGCAGGAGAATGGCGTGAACCCGGGAGGTGGAGCTTGCAGTGAGCCGAGATAGCGCCACGAGCCAAGATCGCACCATTGCACTCTAGCTTGGGCGACAGAGCAAGACTCTGTCTCAAAAAAAAAAAAAAAAAAAAAAAGGCCGGGCGTGGCGGCTCATGCCTGTAATCCTAGCACTTCGGGAGGCCGAGACAGGTGGATCACCTGAGGTCAGGGGTTCAAGACCAGCCTGGCCAACATGGCGAAACCCCATCTCTACTAAAAACACAAAAATTAGCTGGGCATGGTGGCACACGCCTGCAATCCCGGCTACTCGAGAGGCTGAGGAAGGAGAACTGCTTGAACCTGGGAGGTGGAGATTGCAATGAGCTGAGATCGCACCCTGCATTCCAGCCTGGGCAACAGAAGTGAAACTCCATCTAAAAAAACACAAAAACAAAAACAAAACAAAACAAAAAAACTACAAAAAAATTAGCTGGGTATAGTGGTGTGTGCCTGTAATCCCAGCTACTCGGGAGGCTAAGGCAGGAGAATTGCTTGAAATGGGATACGGGAGGCGGAGATTGCAGTGAGCCGAGATCATGCCACTGCATTCTAGCCTGGGATACAGAGCAAGACTCCGTTTCAGAAAAAGAAAATAATACTGAAACCAAATTTGTCTCCTTGCATTTTCTTATCTGATTTCAGACTTCAATGGGGCTCAGATTGCAGTCAAGGAAAGTAATAAAGGGAAACATGACTTACCAAAAGTCACAAAACACGGCAATGATCAAGTGGAACAAAATACTTAACTCTTATATTCCCTTGCTTCTGTTCAGCTGACCACTTCGTAAAGCTCAAAAACTACACTGCTATATGTGAAAGGACCTTTCTCATGCTCCCTGATAATTTATAGAGCCAGTTTTCCTTGAGTTCAAATATAACTCTCCCAAAATATTATGATGGATTGAAATGAGGATAGATGGCTAACACCAGTTAGAGAGAGATGCTCACACTAGTTTCAAAGTTTGTGAAACTTGGAAAAGTTTGTGAAACTTACCGTACTTCTTCACCAGCAAAATCAAACACCTTGGTGATTTTAACTTTTTCTGTTTCTTTAGGTTTCTCTAGCTCTTCTGCTTTTACCAACAATTTACTTGAACTTGTCTCTTCAGTCTCCTCTCCTTTCTACAAAAAAAAACAAGAAACGTAATCAGTTTCACCAAAAGATGAACCATATTGTTTATAGCTACTTTTTATTATTTTTTTTCTTTGAGACAGTGTCTCATTCTGTTGCCCAAGCTGGAGCGCAGTAACACAATCTTGGCTCACTGCAACCTTCCCACCTCCCAGGTTAAAGCGATTCTCCTCGCCTCAGCGTCCAAAGTAGCTGGGATTATAGGCAACCACCACCACACCCAACTAATTTTTGTATTTTTAGTAGAGACAGAGTTTCGCCATGTTGACCAGGCTGGTCTCAAACTCCTGACCTCAAATGATCCACTTGCCTCAGCCTCCCAAAGTGCTGGGATTGTTGGCGTGTGCCACTGCACTCAGCCTATAGTTACTCTTAAATGTTTCATCTCTAATTAGTTAAAGGCCTATTGGAAATTTATATGATTAGAGAAGCTTATTCTCCTACCATAGGAAACGCTTTGCTTTTCACTTAGTACAACTGTTAACAAAAGGCATCTGGTCGATTTCCGTAGGCTTCAAATGTCAGTAATGTAGGGTATTTCTGGAGAGGCATTCACCTTATTAATCTCTCAACTTACCTTAACTTGTGTACTTGGGGGCACTTTTGATTTTGGTCCCACATCATTGAGGAAGCTGGCCCACAGTTCGTCCTCCTTCTTTTTCCTTGCATCCTCTGATCCAATGCCTTTTTCCTGCTCTGCAGCTTCATCTTCCTCCTCACTACTGCTTCCCTCAGATTCTGAATTGGCATCCTCCTCTTCCTCTTCTTCTAATGAGAGGCCACCTTGTTTTCTCTTCCTAATCACCAACAGCCACAGGCAAAAGGAAAGACAGCGCAAAATGATTTCAGTTATCCCTCTCCCAATCCCAAACACAATCTTGTAAACCCGAGAACATTTTAAATTCTGGGACTACTGATTAATGAGTAGAAGAGGTGAGTGGAAGAAGTAAGTTGAAATTTTGTAGAAGAAAAAAAAAAATTTGAAAAAAAAAAAAAAAAAAGAACTAAGCTCTTATTGCTAACTTTTCTCCAGTCATTTAAAATCAAAGTATGGCGTTCTCCTTCTAAATCAGGACCAGCTGTTTTCACAAAGAAAACATCCAAATCACCTAATCATATAATTAATCTGCCCGGGAGGAACATTCTAAGAACATACTTTATGTGCCAGACATTGTTGACTTTTTAAAGCTACTCCATTTGTAGAACAAGTTCTATTGAGAAGAGCCTCAACTTTATTTGCACTATTTCTTCCAAGAGTTCTCAAGGAAAAAGAAAAAAATCCATGTTTCTACCCACTTTCGGAAGACATGAGAGCTGGAATACAGAAAAACTCAAGGACAGGCCAGGCGAGGTGGCTCACGCCTGTAATCCCAGCACTCTGGGAGGCCAAGGCCCACACAGATATTCCACTACCTTTTTTCTCTTTTTCTTCATATAAACTTTCATCACATCAAGATGAGACAAGGTCAGCACTTCAAGACCAGCCTGGCCAACATGGTGAAACTCCGTCTCTACTAAAAATACAAAAATCAGCCAGACGTGTTGGCGGGTGCCTATAATCCCAGCTACTCAGCGGCTGAGGCAGGGAATTGAACCCAGGAGGCGGAAGTTGCAGTGAACAGAGATCACACCACTGCACTCCACCCTGGGCAACAGAGCGAGACTCTGTCTCAAAAAAAAAAAAAAAAATTCAAGAACAAAAAAACTGGGCCCAAGACTTATAAGAGTACATTGTTTCTTAGACTATTTTGACTTTAGGCGAATCCATCTAATATCTACAATTCTTTTTTCCTTTTCATAAATGATAATCTGCTTTTCGCTTCAATGCCCAGGAAGATAGAAACACCCAAGTGAGGTAAAAGACTTCTATGGAAGATGCCCTTATCTAAGTTAAATAGCCTGTCAGAATTTTCATAATTTTCATGGGAACATAAGCCCATACCAGGCCTATGTGAGGCAATTTGCTAAATCTGTATTTTTTAAATTTAATTGCATATATAACCTTAGATCAAACAATTCCACTTCTAAATGTTTCATTTACAGATATATTTATACATGTATACATTATATACATTTATGTATTTATGTATACTTTGTATACATGTATAAAAAGAATATTCACTGCAGTCTTGTTTGTTGTAGTAAAGACTAGATAAAATCTAAACATCCCTCAATACAGGAAAGCCTAAATAAAGTAAGGCCTATTCATATACTGTAATACTATGTAAAAGAGGAGATACTGCCATGGTACCATCTCTGAGATGTGAAATAAAGAGAAATGAAAATGAGAAAATGAGTATGCTACTATTTATATTTTTTTCTTAAAAAAAAGGAAGAAAGAAAATATAGACATATATGCTTTTACATGCACAGACTATCTCTGGTAGCATAGTTCTTCTGAGGCAAAGCAACAAGGGCTAGGAACAGGGTAAACATCTTTTTAGGGACTGAATTTTCTGTTTTAACCATATATACATATTACCTATAAACATGTTTTTTACATTAAAGCTCAAAATGTTTAAAGCTTTCCAGAGACCAAGAAGTTAATCCTAAAATAACAGCAAATGTTTCCCTCAAAGAGAAAAGGATTAGAAACTCTGGCTTCATTAAATCTATCACCAGATAAATCTTAGCAATCAGGATGGTTGTGACAATAGCCCCTAACTTCTAAGGGCCTTGAGGGCAGCATCACCTGGCTGGAATGCTCTGGGCCTTTCTTTTTTTCCCTTGGGTTTTCTGTGTCTGCTCTTCACCATCCACTTCATCTTCCTTCACTAATTCATTTACATCATCTTCACTATACTCTCCACCTGAAATCACATTAACAGGGTGATCAGACAGGAATAAAGGTTTTCACATCAAGATGAGACACTTTCATCAATACAAGCTTTCACACCAAGACATTTTCATTAAGAAAAAGTGAATTTTCCCCTATTCTTCCATTCGTCACCTAACGAAAACATCATTTCCTTGGGGAAGTCTTCTCTGCCCCTGAAGACTACCCTATGTTCTTCTATCCTAGGCTTGCATGGCAGTCTCTATTTCCGATCCATAACTCATCCCACTTATATTTAATGTTGGTAATTTCTGCTGTGCTTTATATACTCCAAGAGGACATAAACCCTGTTCAACTTGACTTCTAAGTATTTGCTGAATGAATGAGTAAATGAACAGAAATTCCAATTCTACTAACTTGTTTCTCAAAGAAGATGCACTACCTCATCTTGAGTATCTTTCAAATCTAATTTAAAAAACACTTTGTCTTCTCAATAAAAGAGGTTTAAAAGAAAACCTAAAGACTTCCAGTTAAACATAGCAGAAAGAACAAAAACACCCATGTCCCATCTTCAGACACTGACATTCAAGGGTCCCCAACAAAAGAGTGTCGCTTGGATGTCTGACCACATGCTGTGGTACCAGTCAATAAACCAAACCTGCCCACACAGAGATTCCACTACCTTTTTCCTCTTTTACTTCATATAAACTTTCATTTGAAGTGTACACACCAAAAAGCACACAAATCTAATATGTAGTTCAATGGAATGACACACAGTGAACACGCTTGCATAACCAGGGCCCCAGCTTGAGGAACTGAACATTATCAGCATCCCAGAAGGCCCCTTGTGCTCCCTTCCAGTCACTAACCACTAATCTACCCTTAAAGGGAACCAATATCCTGACTTCTAACGTCACGGGTTAGTTTTGCCAGCTTTTCAACTTTCAACAGGAGCCTGCAGTGTGTACTCTTCTGTGTCTGGCTTCTTTTATTCAACATTTTGTTTGTGAAAGTCATCCACATTGTGGCAATGTAGCTGTAGTTTATTCATTCTCACTCCTAAATAGTAAATAGTATTTCATTGTATGACTATACCACCATCTGTTTATTCATTCTCCTGTTGATGCACAACTAGGTTGTTTCCAGTTTGGAGTCATTACAAACAGTACTGTTTTGATACTCCTGTACATTCAATCAGCTTTATTTATTTATTTATTGAGATGCAGTCTCGCTCTGTCACCCAGGCTGGAGTGCAGTGGCGCGACCTCAGCTCACTGCAACCTCTGCCTCCCAGGTTCAAGTGATTCTCCTGCCTTGGCCTCCTGAGCAGCTGAGATAACAGGAGTGCACCACCATATACAGCTGATTTTTATATTTTTAGTAGAGATGGGGTTTTACCATGTTGGCCAGGCTGGTCTGGAACTCCCAACCTCAGGTGATCCGCCCGCCTTGGCCTCCCAAAGTGCTAGGATTACAGACATGAGCCACCACACATGTCCTACAATCAACTTTTAAATACTTCACTTATAACGTACCAAGGACCACCAAACACTTGAGAAAAGCCTCCAATATGAAAGGCAAGATTCAAGATAAACAGAAAGGAATTCAGAGGAAACAAAATTAGTGCAGAAAGAGGGGGTGGGGAGGGGGACAGACTAAAAACTTAAGAAAAAGGCTTTGTAATTACTATCCTTAAAGAGATAAGAGAAACTGTGGTATCCATGGAATAAAAATAAGACTTTTAAAATGATTAAGAAAAACAACAAACAAAAAAGCTCATGAAAACTAAAGCAATGATAAAAGAAATTAAAAAAAAAAAAAAAAAAAAAGACCAGTGGCTCACGCCTATAATCTCAGTCTTTTGGTAGGCCAAGGCAGGTGGTTAACCTGAGCCCAGGAGTTCAAGACCAGCCTGGCCAACTATGAAACCCTCTCTCTACAAAAAAATACAAAAATTAGCTGGGCTTGGTGGTACACACCTCTAGTCTAAGCTACTCAGGAGGCTGAGGTAGAAAGATCACTTGAGCCTGGGAGGTCAAGGCTGGAGTGAGCCAAGATCACACCACTGCACTTCAGCCTGGGTAATAAAGCAAGATCCTGTCTCAAAAACATAAATACATAAATTCAAATTTTTTTAAAGGCAATCAGAAGGAGCCAGCTGTGTGAAAATCTGGAGAATGAGCATTTGAGGCTGAGGTGGAAACAATCAATATCCAAAATGGAATTCTGTTTGATATCCCAAACACCAAGGACTAAGTGACAGTGTTTCATGAAGAGAGCAGTGAGTTCCTGGTTAAGACAGCAGTCTGAACACACAAATGTTAATTTTACTTCCTCCTGAACCTCAAGTAAAATCATCAGCACAAGGCCGGGCACAGTGGCTCATACCTGTAATCCCAGCACTTTGGGAACCCAAGGAGAGCGGATCACTTGAGGCCAGGAGTTCAACACCAGCCTGGGCAACATGCTGAAATTCCATCTCTACCAAAAATACAAAAAATTGGCCAGGCATGGTGGCGTGTTCCCGTAATCCCAGCAACTCAGGAGGCTGAGGCAGGAGAATTGCTTGAACCCAGGAGGCAGAGTGTGCAGTGAGCCAAGATGGCACCACTGCACTCCAGCCTGGGCGACAGAGTGAGATTCTGTCTCAAAAAAAAAAAAATTAAGCAGCACAAAAGGACTTTTGAAACATGTAAACCTACAATGCTGGAAAGAAATGGAAAGGAGACAACAGCAACACATCTCCGGAACCTGGAGAGTAAGCAGCAATTGCTTACAGACTTAGGGAAAGAAAAAGCCTAAGTTGATATGCAACGCAAAATCCTCAAAAGGCACTGGGACCAGAGGTAAAGGTGAGTTTCCCCAAATCACGGGAAAGCTGTAAGAGAGGCAGTTGGCTCTCCACAGGTCTAAGCCATGGGCAACTAGTTCTACCACAGCACCCACCCCTAGCCCCCACCCCCAAGCAAAATCTGAAGGTTGTATCCTGGAGGGGTGTGGATGAGGGAATGCCAAGCATAGTTGGAGGACATATAGGTACTTTAAGGAAATCAGGAATATTAAGTGACCAACATAAATACTAAGGCTAAATACTAAGATTCCCAGCACTACTACCCTTTCCTTACATAGCTAGTTTTGCTTGCTACTCATATTTTGAAACTGTATTTAGGTAGGTGGTAAATCTATAAAGAAAAGCAAGGCAGCTGGGCGCGGTGGCTCAAGCCTGTAATCGCAGCACTTTGGGAGGCCGAGGCAGGCGGATCACGAAGTCAGGAGATCGAGACCATCCTGGCTAACATGATGAAACCCTGTCTCTACTAAGAAATACAAAAAATTAGCCGGGCATGGTGGCGGACACCTGTAGTCCTAGCTACTAGGGTGGCTGAGGCAGGAGAATGGCATGAACCTGGGAAGCGGAGCTTGCAGTGAGCCGAGATCGCACCACTGCACTCCAGCCTGGGCGACAGAGTAGACCCCATCTCAAAAAAAAAAGAAAAGAAAAGCAAGGCACATGTCAATGTCAACAGTACAAATATTCTAGTTATTAAACTGGGTGGTAGGTACATAAGTATCATTTGATAAGTATTCTTTAAACTGTACATGTGATACTCTGCCATATATATATACACATATATATATACACACATATATATATATATTTCACATTTTTATAAATATAAGAAAAGCTCAGAGCTGGGCAAGGTGGCTCATGCCCGTAATCCCAGCACTTTGTGGGGCCAAGATAGGTGGATTTCTTGAGCTCCGGAGTTGGAGACCAGCCAGGGCAACATGGTGAAACCCTGTCTCCACAAAAAATACAAAAATTCAAAAATTAGCCAGGCCTGCTGAACTGTGCCTGTAGTTCCAGCTACCTGGAAGGCTGAAGTGGAAGGACTGATTAAGCCCAGGAGGCTGAGGTAGCAGTGAGCCATGTTTTCATCACTGTACTCCAGCCTGGGTGACAAAATGAAACCCTGTCTCAAAAAATAAATAAATAAATAAAAATAAAGAAAAAACTCAGGGCCAGGCACAGTGGCTCATGCCTGTAATTCCAACACTCTGGGAGGCTGAGGTGGAAGGACTGCTTGAGCCCAGCAGTTTGAGACCAGGCTGGGCAACAAAGTGAGACCCTATAACTACAAAAAATTTTTAAACATTAGCCAGGCACGGTGGGCATGCCTATGGTCCCCACTACTTGGGAGACTGAGGGGAGGATCACTTGAACCCAGGAGGTCAAGGCTGAAGTGAGCCATGAACATGCTACTGCATTCCAGCCTGGGTCACAGAATGAGACCCTGTCTCAAAAACAAAAACAAAAACAAAAACCACCCCAAAATACAAAGAAACACAAATGTATTTACCTTTTTATCCAGCAGTCCCACTTTTTTTTTTTTTTTTTTTTTTTTTTTTGAGACGGAGTCTCGCTCTGTCACCCAGGCTGGAGTGCAGTGGCGCAATCTCGGCTCACTGCAAGCTCCGCCTCCCGGGTTTACGCCATTCTCCTGCCTCAGCCTCCGGAGTAGCTGGGACTACAGGCGCCCGCCACCTCGCCCGGCTAGTTTTTTGTATTTTTTTTTAGTAGAGACGGGGTTTCACCGTGGTCTCGATCTCCTGACCTTGTGATCCGCCCGCCTCGGCCTCCCAAAGTGCTGGGATTACAGGCGTGAGCCACCGCGCCCGGCTAGCAGTCCCACTTTTATCCCAGAATATATAATAGGTTATTCACTCAGCACTGTTTGTAATAGCAAAAAGTAGAAACAGCTCAAGTTGTCTCACAGTAAGTGACTGGCTGAAAAGACTATGGTCCATCTAAAGAATGGAATACCACAGTCATTACAATGCAATGTGTAGAATTTCTATGTATTTACCTCCAAGATATACTCTTAAGTTAAAGAGAAAAAAAAGGAGAGGAAAAGCAAAAGAACAATGTATGAAATATGTCAGCTTTGGATGAGGAAAAAGGAAGAATTAAGAATATGCTTATATTTGTTTGTATACAGAAAAAGCGACACTAGAAGGATAAACAAGAAACTA